GAATGGGCAAGAGACGAAATGCAGATTAACCAGAAAATCGGGAGCTTGTCTACTACAGTGGTCTCTCAAATGGAGCAAAAATGTTAATGCGCACAGAGTGGGGAAGTTATGCTTGTAGTAGTTGGCTCGGCATCGGCTGCTTCATTCATTCTTCACCATTAGTGGCTCATTCATGTGCTTCGCGGCTATCAGATGACTACTAATGTGTTATCTTGTTACTGCAGCAGGTCCCTCAGGTGCTTTAACCACTTAAAGTTTTTAGTTTTTTCTTTTTTAAATTCAAGGTTGATCGGACTCTGGGAGCAAGAGAACCCACACAGGCACTGCACGGAAACCAGGAAAAGGACTAAGGATAAACTGGAACCAGTGACCACCAGAATGAATGGTCTCTGGTGGCTCTGCCATGCTAATCTTTTCTGGCATGCACTTTTCTACCAGGGAATGATTACTTTAAATCATTCAGGATTTTGGAGGCAATTACCTTCATGCTGCGATGAAACATTCATGTCCCCATCAACAGGGCAAGAAGGGACACTCAATAATTTGACTGTGAAAATGTTGTTAATCATGTCTTCAAAACATTGAAGATTTTAGACTGACATGTCCAAGTGTTTGTACCCCTCTCCTCAAAGCAAAAAAGGAGGAAATGGTTTTGGAAAAATGTCGTTCAGTGCCAGAATCAATGCTTAGTCACTGTGCAGACTCATGCTCAAAACGTATGCTCTCTTTTTTCCCTTGTTTTTCTGAGTCTGAGCTGTGGCCACCTTTTAAAACATTCCCTGTTATTAAGATCACAGGTGGCTAAGGTGGCAGTGGCAATATTTGGTGCACATGCTAGTATACGGTGAAGGGGGGGGACGACACAATAGAAGAGCACCATCTAAAACAGGAAGAGAATCATCAATCGGCTTGTGACTCAGCAATCTGGCACATCTGGTACAGCTGTCCATTTTGTTTAAAAGCTTATCTAATGTTCCGATGTTGCCTATCAAGGGTGTCATGGCATTGGAGGCTGGGCACTAGCGAAGCAGGTAGATGGCCCATCACAGTAAGAGTTTTTCTGTTCAGTTCAGAATCACCAGTTTTTGTTTTTTGTTGTTGTTGATTTTTTTTTTTTTGTGGAAAGCGAAGCACTGGACAAAGCCCACACAGGCCCAGGGAGATCATGGATTTGAACCAACAACCTTCATTGTGTAAAATGACAGTGCTAAGCAGTGCACCAATGTGCTGCCCCGTTGAATGCAAAATATGAAACAATTTTGGTATCTCTCAGCTACGCCTGTACGTCAGCAACCAGAACAACACATTTTTATATTTAAAAAGAAAGTGCAGAGAGTTTTCTATTCTTTCTTTCTTCAGCTGCGAAATCTAAAACTCCTGAATCTGAGGTTTGACAGTCAGTACAGAGGTAATCCAGGGTATAGCTTCAAAAAGTCTGTAATTATGGGATGTTTTAGCTCCGGAGGATCGCTGCAGGCTGCAGCCATTTCGCTCACATTTGTCTCATTTATGTTCTTCTGCTGCTTCCCGCTTCTGACAGACTGTCTGTATCCCTGATATAGAAACACAGCCCTCTTTATCTGTCTGTAATTTTCAGTCTGTCTCAAGTGAAGAAATGAAGGAGGCAGAGTTTGACTGAAACATGTAGACAGAGGGATCCACAGAGAGCGGTTTGACACTGAGCTAAAAGCTTCAGGGAGTGTGAGAGTGGCAGAGTCGTTAGGAGAAGTTAGACAGCAAGACCAGAGAGGAAGAACGGGTATCAATATGTGACAGAGAGATGTAGATGGTGAGTGGAGCAGAAGAAGAGCAGGCGCGGTCAGGCTTCCACCCCGACTGGGTGTGTTAATTAAGCTTTCACTAGTGATCTGCAGGGATAACGGACAGTGGAAATACCACTGTGACCTTGAGTCACACTGTAAACACTGAGTGTGCATATTGATTTTATGTTGTGGAATTTTTGTAAAGATGAATGTAGCCACCTATGGTCATGCTTAGTATCTATCTGTGTGCATGCCTGTTTATGCGATTACTATGCGATTATGTAACAGTCACTGAAACTGCCCACCCCACATGTCACACAATGAAAATTGTAACTAAAAGAATTGCTTATATTTCCGTAATCTTTATTAGTGCTGTTGAAATAGTGGCTACACAGAGAAGTTCTAATTAGTTTAATTAGAAAATTAATTTAGGATCTGCTTCATGTGATGTGGCTCGTCTTTGAAGCTCATTAGCCCGGACATGCGTTCACAATAAAGTGATTAAAAAGCTCTATTTTTTACATTTAAGTAGCGTTTTTACTTTGTTGATTATGAAAATCTGCAGTGCAGTTTTTCTCTGCAAGCTTTTTCTGATACGTGCTTTTATAAATGTTTACAGTACTGTGCAAAAGTCTTGAGCCACTCCTTTCTTTATATTTTGCTTCCGAGGAGATGGGTTTGCCTTAAAGAATAGTTTTCAGGCTTTCTGAAGTTTTTCAAGGTCTTTCTTTAGACATAATCTGCTCCTCACTTATTTTCAGTCAAGTCCTTGTATCTGATCATCTTCATAGGAATATTTTTTTCCTTTCTTTTTTTTGGTTGTATGCCAAACCACAACGGAAGTCTCAAGGTATGAAGCAGTGTTGTGTATAAAAATAACTTGGGAAAGAGCCAATTTTAAATGATATCTTTATACTCTTTGTTACTAGCAGCCTGTACAAAAATGCATCACTTGTTCTCATTTGTTTAGTTGAATCTATGAAAAATACAAAAGACAAATGTTTGACAGTGTTTTGTTTTTTTTTTGTTTTTTTTCCCCCAGTAAATTTCAGAAATACTTTATTAATCCAAAGGATTAATAAAGGATTATATCCAAAAGAGCAGTTACTGAAAACTTCTTTTCCACATTGTGTGGCTTTTAGAAAACTGAGGTCTATATGTATCCAGGAGGTCATGAGAGAAATGCAACAGTGAGCGCTTACAGCCATCTGCAAAACACGGTGGAGGCTCCGTCCTGGTGGTGTCAAGATGAACTTTGGAATGACTTTTAGGAAGGTGAAGAGCTACTTGATTATGAGTAAACTCTTATGTAATACAACTCAAGTTTAGCTGAATTGTTTTGCTTTATGTTCTGTGTTTCCATATATGTTTGCATGCTTCTCCTATTTCTCATTCTACTAAAGAAACATAGAGACGTGATGGGTGGCTCAAGACTTGCACAGTATGTGAATCATTAGACTCCTGCTATAAAGTAATCATTTCTTATGTATTCACAACAGCAAGTGTGTGAATACATTTGTATGCAATATGTTGAGGCTTTAATCTGCTTTGGCGTTGTCTGAGTATCAGATCGTTTAGATGGATGCAAACACTACTCTAAGACGCAACTAAATCTAAATTGTGATGCTGTAGAAAGAGTTTAATTTGAAGATCTAAAGATGGATAGTAGATGAGGCTGATATTTGAAATTATGAACAATTTTGAAAAAAATGTTTTTAAATATGGATAATTCGAAGAAAATAAGTGCCTAACAGTGAGCTAAAAAAGAAAAGGCAGAGAAAAGATCCTCATCTTCAGCTATTTGTCAAAAAATGTCTTACTTTTCTTACATTGTGCAACAGAGCCCATTTATGCTTCACCTGATGATGCAAGAATGAAGTGAGCCAAAGCAAGAAAGACTCGCTGTGGCCTCGAGGCTCCTAATCATTCTCCTTACCAGATAAAAATGAGACTTTTACACTAGAATAACTTAAAACTAATGAATTACTGCAATATCCAGCTGGGATTAAGGCTGCTTAACATGACATTTGTACAAGACACAGAGAATAATAACAAATGTCTTCGGTCAAAAAGTCACAAGCAGTTGCAAAACTACCCTCAAAGTACGTGTATCAGTTTGTTTTTACACATCTGTGGGCTTTTTAGCCTCATCTGATCATGTTTTTCTCTCATACCAATAAAATTTATCTGATGCCTTATAAGAGCAGAGAGATGTGCCATGACTCACTAACGTGTGATTTCTAAACCGAGGCAGCTTAAAGTGGTTTCATCTTCTACTCTCTTTGGCGTCCTTCCTTTCTCCAGTCCTTTCTCACTCTCTTACATCTTTAACTTTTGCTCTCTTTCCCCCATGACGTTTAACTCTGCATTCACCTAAGCGACCCACCCACGGTGTCTGGTCTCTCTCCCAGTTGTCTTTCAGAGCCAATTATGTTATTAAAAAACAGAGCCAATCAGAAGCCAATTAAAGAGATAACTGGCGAATAATCACCGGGGCTGAGAAGGGGAAATCTCAGGTTTGTAGTAGAGCTGTGAAAACTGACAGAGGAAAAGTGGAATTAGAGTTAAAAAGCCAAGCCAGAGAGATGTGCAAGGAAATGACCGGAATGACATGGGATAGGCTGGCCTGTAGCAGAGCAGGTGTAAAGGAGGAGAAAATGATCAGCAGTTTGATGGACTGAGATGAAAGTAAAGATTGATGAAGTCACTGACAGATGTGACCCGCTGATTTTCCGGCTGTCACCGAGAGCCAGAGACGGCACAGCTGGCTGCCAGGCAGCAGGAAGTATAGGCGAGAGGTGAAGGGGTAGAATATCAGTCCTGAACCTCAGTGGACTTCAAAGGAGGAGATGAATATGATGCACTTCAAGGATCAGTTTTTGTCAGTGTGCTTAATGACTGGGTTAAAGGCATTCATTTCCATTTATTTGCTGTCGATAGCACTCGTGTATCTGTAAGATACGTAGGAGGCAGCAGCGGGTTACTGGGAAAACTTTTCCTAGCTCACTTATCAGTCTGTAGTACAAACAAGCCAGATCTTGAAATCTGTGTCAGAATTAAACAGGGTATAAATAAGAGAATCCTCCAGTTTTGCATGGAGAAATGATGACTGAGGCTGGATGAACTTGGAAAAACTTTCATATTTGTGGTCTTCACAGCATCTGCCAGGTGAGTCACAGGTGCTTCCTGCTACGGAGCAGATCTAAAGCACCTTTTTGTGTCTCGCTCTCTTGACAGGTGGAAGAGATCCGGGGTTTTATCGAATCGCTGGCAGAGAAAGTTGAAGAGGTGAAGAGGAAGCACAGCGCCATCCTTGCCTCACCCAACCCAGATGAGAGTAAGGCTCTTTTTTCTGTTCTGTTTTCTAGTGTTTAGCTCTTTAAAATGACATACTCAGGGTAACTCTTGCCTCAGAAATACTGTACTTTTGTTCTGATGGGACTCGACTGCCTTAGGAGTTTCCATTCAGGTGAAACTATAACTTATATTCTTTTAACCAAAGTCCTAATTCATCCAGAATTTGAATGGGTTTTTATTAATCATATCCACAGTTTTATTTCTCACTTGTTAAACTTGGGGCGATCGTGGCTCAAGAGTTGGGAGTTCACCTTGTAATCGGAAGGTTGCCGGTTCGAGCCCCGGCTTGGACAGTCTTGGTCGTTGTGTCCTTGGGCAAGACACTTCACCCGTTGCCTACTGGTGGTGGTCAGAGGGCCCGGTGGCGCCAGTGTCCGGCAGCCTCGCCTCTGTCAGTGCGCCCCAGGGTGGCTGTGGCTACAATGTAGCTTGCCATCACCAGTGTGTGAATGTGTGCGTGAATGGGTGGATGACTGGATATGTAAAGCGCTTTGGGGTCCTTAGGGACTAGTAAAGCGCTATATAAATACAGGCCATTTACCATTTACCATTTGTTACCTACCGCCCAAAATCATAAAATAAGAGATGCCACCACTAGAGCAAGTTTAATGATTTAAAAAAGGGGCCTACAACAAAGTAAAAGGATAAGGCCATGTGCAGTACCAACCACACTGATGTAAACTAACATTAATGGGGAAATAACCATCAAAAGAAATGGAGAATATACCAGTGCAGAGACACACGATACGCCCGACCACAGGGCTAGGTAGAGACCGCTTGTGCAAAACCATCCTCAGATCTCAATCTAGCTTTGAAGGCTTAAAAACAACCTTAACAAATCACTAAATGTTGTGTTGGTTTTAATTTCTTTCTTTACCCATCGATTTGTTGCTCCCTTATTTCCAGAAAGAGTGATTCGCCATGACTTGATTTCTTGATTCATTCAGCCGAGGTTACTACGACTGACCCCTTGTTTTCACCTATCACTGTTTAATGATAACATCAATGTTTAATACTGCAGTGATTCAGTAATGAGTCAGAGAAGCTTTTAATGGAAAGGAGAAAGAGAAGAAAGCCAAAAGTCACAGTTTGCCGTCTAATGTACGACGGCAGCCAAAAGCAGGATAATCGTCGCAGAATCCGCTGAACAAAGAGAAGAAAAATGACTGTGTCATTTAAAAGAAATTGAGGAAATAAAGAAAAATTTGTCAGAAAGAGCAAGAAAGGCTGTGTGCAGACTGGAGACTTCAGTAGAAGTCAGAGGACCTTGAAAATGTTTCAAAGCGCTCCACCAATCCGTCCTCTCTCTGCTTTTGGGGCATTTATACCCTCACGGTGAAATCTCTTACCTTCCCGTTTCTCCATTTTTCTCAGTTTTTCTGCTTTCTGTCTCCATCACTCTTTACTGCTACATTTTCCTTTTCAGCTGCTGTTAACCATATTTCATACTTCCCAGTTTCTCTGCTGTCTCTTTGCCCATTTGTGCCCCTCTTTACATTGCTTTTGTTCAGTCTGTGCTGGATACTCAATCCATCGTTCCTGCTGTCTTTTTGCTCCACAATCTCTCATCACCTCTTCTTCTCTCATTTTATATCAGGGCATTGATCTTGACCCTTGTTCACACAAGGGGGATGTTACTCATGCTAGTGACACCTCCTACTAATAATTTTCCTTTCCTCCTCACTTATTCCCTGCCTCCCCTCCCGCCTGCAAATATATCTATGTGCTTGCAGCAGCAGGCATCAGATGGGCCCTTTATCTATCCTGAGCGTGCAGATGGACGCACTGAGCGGAGCAGCAATGAGGAAAGGTGTTGCATTTATGATACAAATTCTCCTGCAGGTCATTTCCTGACTGAAATGACTGTGAATGAAATCAGAGCCGTGTGTGCGCCTTTGTGATAAATGCTAAAGAACCGTACATCAATCAACGATTGATGTAAATGTCAGGGTTGTTCATTACAGGTAGGTCGTTATGTTCTGTACTTTCTACCCGTTGCACTGTGACCACTGACGGCGACTGAAATAACCTGGAACGTACATTCAGGACGCTCATTCGTTTGCTGAGTAGGATTTTTATACCCTGTGTGTTTTTGTGCATATATTTACATATTACATATTACTGCTTTGGTTTGGCAGTAATTTCCCTACATCAGTGTTTCTTGTTACATTTCCTTACATTATCTGTTTCTGGGACCTGAGGCATGACTAAATTTAATAAGTAGTATGATAAGTAGGATGTTGAAGACTGATCTGCTAGGCGTGAGAAAAAAGAGGAAGACCACAGAGGTTCATGCATATAGTGAAGGAAGGTTGCTGTGGCAAATGTGGATGCTTTGCATAGGGTGAGATGTGGGCAGATGATCCACTGTGGCCACCCCTAAAGGGAACAGCTGATAGAAGAAGGAGCACTTAATCTCTTTAAACAGGCACTGGATAAAAATTCTCCACAAAGGAAGGAAAACATTTATGAAATTCAATTTCAAAACCACCTTCTGACAACAGTTTAGTGTTGGAGCAGCTTTTTAAATTAATCTGCATTCATAAAAATGCCCGTCACGTTAAACATGATGTGCTGCCGTGGATATCTGCTGGCTCAGAGTTTTGGACATTGTCCCTGGCTAAGTCTTCATATAATAGCTGGTGGGATCCCTAAATGATTAGCACTAAAATAACTAATAACATTTCCATGATAATAGATGCTAATCTTATGACGTGAAATGGATTTGTTTTGCTATTTCATGATCAGAAGCCACAGTCTTAGTAAAACTGAAACGTTGACCTAATGAGAAACTAATCTCAAAAAAGAGATTCAATTCATCCTGGTGGGAACACAATTGTTTTTTCCAATTTCATCGTTTATCTGTGCATTATAAGGTCTGCATGTGTATATGTGTGTGAGTGTGGTTGTGCGTGCCTGTGTGAAAACATCATTTTTTTTGTTTTGGCTGCTGTGGTTCTAATTGTGATTTTGACATTTCCCTGCTTCTGCTGGAGTGTGTCATCAAAAGTAATTGCACAGTGGCATTTCATTGTGAAATCTAATGCATGCAAGACCTACGCTCATTCACTGCTGTATCAAAAATGGAAAGTCTTGCTGATATTCACTGATTTTTTTTTTTTCCTCCCCCGTGGTAAGATGAATCAGTTCTGCTTCTGAAGGTTCCTCCCATCAAATCAAACTTTACCTCCTTGCTGATGCATAATAGGCGAGTCTGTCCTTTTCTTATCCTCTTCTAGCGCAAGTATTTTGCTACTCATCCAAGAATCTTGACTCTTAACTTCTGTTGCTTTTCCCCCCACATAAAAACGGGTGTTTACAGAGAAAATATCCAGTGAGCGGCAGTTCTGTGTGAAAATATCTTGTTGATGTCAGAGGAGAATGGCCAGAGTGTTTCAAGCTGACAGAAAGGTAGCAGTAACTCAAATAACCACCTGTTACAACCCAGGCATGCAGGAAAACATCTCTGAATGCAGAAGATGTCAAATCTTGAGGCAGATGGGCTACAGTATCAGAAGAATACACTGGGTGCCACTAGTGACACCTAAAAACAGGAAATTGAGGCAACAATTTGCACGGGCTCATCAAAAATGGAAAAATGTTGCCTGGTCTTTTGTGTCTCAGGTTCTCCAGCAACATTCAGATGGTTGGATTAGAATTTAAACAGCATGAAAGCATAAATCCATTGTGCCCTATGTCAACGGTTCTGGCCCTGTAGTGGTGTAAAGGTGTGGGGATATTGTCTTTAGTACCAGTTGAGCAGTGTTTAAACTCTACTAGTGTCCGATCATTGCTGCTACCATGTCCATCACTTGGTGACCACAGTGAACCCATCATCTGATCACTGCTTCCAACAGAATAACACACCATGTCGCAAAGGTTAAACAATCTAAAATTGGTTTCTTGGACATGATAATGACTTCACTGCGCTGCACTCAGATGGCCTCCACAGTCACCAGATCCGAATCCAATAGTGCAGCTTTGGGAGAGAATCACATCATGGGTGTGCAGCCAAAAAAAAAATCTGCAGGAACTATGTGATGCTCTTATGTCAACATGGAGCAAAATCTCTGATCACTGTTTCCAGCAGCTCATTTAATCTGCTTTGAAGAATTAAGGCATTTCTGAAAGTAAAAGTAAGGGCAAGGTGTACCTAATAAAGCGGCCTAAGCATTTAAATGGGAGTAGTGGGTTGTGCGTTATATTGAAAGAGAGAGAGAGGAAAAACACTGCCATATTTTTTTTTTTATCCAGTCTGCTGCTACTGATGAAGTACTATATAATATGTAAGATTATTTACTTTTGTTTGTTTTAATAGAGATCTATTAATCTATTTGTGCTTCCACCATGGCTTCAAAAACATTTCACATCTCCCCAGGAGCTGCGCGCTTGGCCAGCTTCACAACCCCGAATCCCTCCTCTTCTTCCCCTTCTGCTTGCTGCAAACTTTCACTGCCCGAGATGTTTCCTCAAGAACTCCACAGGCGTAGATCCTACATTCATACGCACACACATATTGTCATGCATGTAGCCTCTTTGCGGTGTTACTTTCGCCCCTGCATTACACATTATCCCATATCTCAGTTTATCCACCCCTCTGAATGAAGCACAGAAAATTACCTCAGGGGAATTGCCGTATGCTGTTTGTGTGCTTTTTTGTTTGTAGTTAATTATGTGTTTGTGTGGATGGTTTTCTGCAGCTGCGTAGAATAGAAGTTTCACAAATGATGATGGATTCTGTAATCATCTGTGTCATAATGTGTATTAAGCCCATATGTTCTCATGAGTGCATTCCTCTAATGCAGGAAGAGAAGCTGCAAATTTAAATTTAGAAACATTATTGATTTTTCCATTCACAATTAAATGATTGCATTATTTGTTTTAGCTTGTCGCACTGGCTGTTGGGCACAGCTTCTCATTTTTTGATCAGTGAGGCAGAATAACAACAAAAGGTCAGCGTTCATTACTTTTCCTACACAG